GCAAGCTTGTTCACACCCATCCAGACCCTGACAGCCTCCAGGCACTGACACATCACTTCAACCGCTTCACTGAGTTGGCACGGGGTGGACAGATACAACTGTGTATCATCCGCATATTGATGGTACTTTATCCCGTGCCGCCGAATGATCTCACCCAGTGGCTTTCTGTAGATGTTAAACAGGAGGGGGGGACAGGACCGAGCCCTGCGTCACCCCATACTTAATGATTGTGATGATTTACAGCCATAATTCTGGGCTCAGTTACTGTTATAAGTCGAGTTCTACCTGTAATAGAGGTTCTACGGGTTTAATAGCATGCAATTTTACTCATGGAGGTTTTCATGGACCTCAGAAAGCTAAGCAGGGCTAGACCTATTTATGGCAGACCATTAATAAATACTACATTAACAACATCCCAGAAATACATATATCACTTCTGTATTGGTGCCATGAAAACTGTGTGGAAGTATACACTCATAAGGAGCTAAACTTGACTGGAAGGAGATTTTAATGTGTCTATTCAACATCTAAATAATTGTCTGCCATAAAAACAAAAGAATAAATTGGGAGGGGACAAATGTGATTTTCTTTTTGTGCATGCTGCTTGTTCAGTTAGTTCATCTAATTCGTTACTTGGCTTTTGAACTCTGAAAATGTGCTGGGATATTGTACATTAAGGCAGCGACTTTAAATCACAGGTGTCAAAGTCACGGCATCACGTTGCCATCACATGATGTTTTGTGACAGTTTTCCTATTCACGGAGCTGGGGTGGGTGAGGCCTGTGTGTGATACATCCAGCCTGCCGACCACCAGTTTGATACCCCTGCATCAGTTATATGTTTATCCAAGGTAGGATTCATAGGAAATCTTGGTAGGGTATAGGGTTAATTATTGAAATTATAACCAAGTGATTTCATTTTTTGTTTTTGTTTTGTTTCAGTTTGATAGAGATGCTAGCTTAAGATAGGAAAGACTGAGAACAATTGCAGAAGTGAATGAATGAAAATGGTCATGGTTGATTTTTACCCTTTTAATTAGTCAAAATCCCAATCACACACTCTCTGTACTGGTGTTATCTTCTTTTATCTACTTATATACTTTTCTGAGAAAAGAAACGATGGATACTCCCCTCAAATGCACTTCATTGTGGTTGTGACCTTCAAGCAGTTAATTGAGGATGGATAGCACAACATTGCCCAAGTGTTGGAAAACGTCCAGGCATTATATCAAAATGACAGTAATATTAGACAAGCTGCTTCAGAAAGTAGATTTTATTTTGTCTCTCGTCAGAAGAAAATTTGGGAACAGTGTGTTTCTCAGAATTCTGAGGATATGCTGGTAGACCCCAATTTTTCAAGGAAAACCAACTTGGCATCACCCCCTGTGGATGTAAAAAGCTTTGTCTAACTTCAAAGTGAAGTTAAACCAACAGCCATCCCTAGGGAATGCAGCTATCAAATGGTATATAAAAAGCTGATTGTCACACACAAGGAAATTATTTAAGGAACTCAAAATAGGACTTCTTATGAATGAGAACAAAATTTCTTACATGGAGGAACTCAGCAAGTGCTTTTCTGATGAATGATAGCTAAATATGAGCAGGATGTTAAGATCTCAAGTTTAATCATTTTTAGTGACAAGTTGTTGGTTGCTGCAATAATATTCTTCTATTCATGACCTGTTATCTGATACTGTAATAATACAACTATTTTGCAGCCTATTTGGTTTTCGTTTAGTATGTGGTCTAAATCCCCTAGCTGTAGTTTATTCAGTTTAAATAAAAGCAAGGTAAAATAAATAATTCAGCCTGATATAGGACCAACTAAAATGTTCTGTAGCTGTGGTTAATTCAGTTGTGATTTTGCTTAAAGCAGGGCTGTCAAACTCCCGACCCACAGGCCGGATGCATCATGGGCTGACCATGCTGGCATGCCCAGTTTAGTAAAGGTGAAAAAAGTCCTGATACGTCACATGATGCTTCTGTGATGACGTGAGTTTGACACCCCTGGCTTAAAGGCTTGCAGTAAATCCTTTAACATATTTTAATGTCACCCGTTTGAGGAAAATGGCTGCCATAGAGCTGTGACAAGGCACAGAATGTTGGGGCATTGCAGACTCTACAGTAGTGTGTGCAACCATTATAAATTCATGGGTCGTAGGTAGCTCTAGGAAAGTCTGTTATAAGTTAAATCTGTTGGGTTTTTTAATGTTTTTATTGAACATATTTCATCATTTACACCACATTTTCAATCTTTACAGTGCTCCAGTATCAGTAGCACTCATAATTACATAATGGTGATAAAAAAGGTGCTTCAGTGTGCAGAGATGGACAGGTTAACTATGGAATTAAAAGACAGAGGAGAAACGGAATATTCTATGATTTGGGACATATGATATAAATGGCTAGAGAATAGATGTAAAGATTATACATAAAGGTTATTTAAGAGTTATATTAAGGTGTATATATATATATATATATATATATATATATATATATATATATATATATATATGAATATTGATACAATGTAAACTATAGACCTATAAATATTGGTATAATAGATAATAGATAATATATACTTAGAACAGCGATGTATATAATTGGAAAAGAAGAAGAATGAAATAAATCTGTTGTTAAGTGACTGGTTACTAGTCGAGGATTACCTGTAGCAGTACTGGCATCAAAAACTGTGGAGGCCATAGGCCACCTTCCTCTGTTCTTACTTTTATGCATCAGAAAGAGCTGAATTGACTATGTCAGAATCATGAGATAAAGAAATGTATCTGAAAATTTTTCATTTTTCATTTTTCATTTTTGTTCCTTTTTAAGATGAACAAGAATCTGTGCAAAAGCGGACATTCACAAAGTGGATCAACACTCATCTAGCCAAGGTAAAACATTATTCTGCTTTTTATAGAGTACAAATGCTGAGGTAGTAAATCGGAAGGCTTGAAACAAGATCTCTAAAGGAAATATCTCTTTTGTATAGCAAAAGAGGGAGCTATTATCATTACAGCACGGGTTTCCTGTGTAGTGCTGGACAGGAAATTAAAAAGGAAAAGGAAAGTTTATATGTATTTGTCTTTCAAAACTATTCTTTTTTTAAGTACCTTGGAAATTATCGTTGTTTTTATGAATTATGAATTATGTTGATTTTAAACTGCAAACAAAATGATACCAGATTTTTTTCCCACCTAGTATTTTTAGACTATCACAATATTGTATTTTCTTCTAAGAAAGTGTACAAAATTCTGTTTTTAGCTTTAGAAAAAACATCCCACACTCCTGCTTAGAAATTTGTAGGAGTCATATCTTTGCTCAGAGATTGGAAACAAACTTTGGATTTTCATTCACTTATTGAATACTTCCTTTATCTCTTAAGAACAAATATCATTACTGAAACCGTCCTCTGACTTTTTAGAGGGATGCCACTGGAAGTTTAGTGAATGAATCCTACAGATGAGGGAATTTTTCCGCTTAAAAATGGCTCTGGATAATTTTCCAATCTTCCGAAGTAAATTTTGGAGAAATACTCCTGTAACAAGAACCGTGATGGCACGGTGATTAGAATGCAGTACTGCAAGCTAACTCTGCCCACAATCTGGAATTCAATCCTGATGGGGTTCAAGGTTGACTCAGCCTTCCATCCTTCCGAGATCGGTAAAATGAGGACCCTGATTGTTGAGGGCAATACGCTAATCTGTTCTGACCTCCCTCCGTACGGTGAGTCACGCCGACACAAGATTACTGCTGGACAATTTATTCACAGTAAATTAACACACTGACAAGACTTTGTCAAGCAACACAGACTTCCTCAGATAAAAAATACACACAGGAGCTTCTCCAGCTGTAGTATAATAGTTGAGTCCTGCAAACAGCCTTCTCCCAAAGTCTCTTCTTATATACTCTCTTGGGAGGAGCCTAATCACAACCACCTGTCCCCAATTATCTTCTATATCTCCATAGTTGCTGTCGGCCCTTATCTGCCCATCTTTGCCTGGCGTCCGGAACCAACTCCCTT